TTTTTTTTTTTTTTTACCAAAATATGAAATTTTTTTCCAATTTACAGACTGTATCGCCCAAGATAATTTGCTTGAAATGTTTCCTATTTTTAAGTCATTTATGCACTTTCTTTCATATATTGGATAAATAATATTTTTTTTCTTCATATCTTGTATTGTATTTTATTTTGTTATTTTGTGTGTATTTATTTTTTTCTTATCTTGTTATACGAGTAAATCTTTCCAGCGTGGGATCAATAAAGTCCATCAAAATATATAACAATAGTTTTTCACATACTTTCTGAATGCCTTATATGTAACTATATGTAATTTTACCCAAACCTCTGTGTGTTTGTGTGAGAGAGCAGAGAGAGCATGTGAACATTATTAATAATACACATTCAAGAGTTATCAATATTTCACAGCTTTATATTATTGATTATCAGAATCTGATTAAAAACATGCATGTGTTTGATTATTAGACAGAATCTGTTTTACAGTGTGAATACTTCGGTCACGTTCAACAACCAGAGTGGATGACTGTAATCCAGGAATTAAAGCTCATTGTACTGTGACAGTCAGTCTCCGTCACTCTGGATAAGAGCTTCGACTAAAGCCCAAAACGTGAATGCAAATTTACATCATTGTGTTCAAACCACTCATAAAGGATAAACTACTCAGAGTGAATACGTATAGAGTCGGAGCAGGAAACGTGCAGTAAAAGGCAGCTTTAATCAGCAGAAAGGGTCACTCAGAGGCAGATTGCTGTCTCGGTTATAGGTGTTATATAGAGAAGCACTGGAGGAAGAAGTAATCTTCCGTTTAAAGCTACAGAGACAAAAAAAACACCACTAACTCCAGTGGGTTTTAAAGGCCTGGTGCTGTTTAACCATCAGTTTCCCCAGAGTTTCTCAAAACCTAGATAGCGGATTAAGCCTGGCTGAGTTTAGCCGTGACTCGGTTTCATGAAAGCAGCTGCAGATGAGTTACCATGGAGATTTATTCTAGCCTGCTCCAGACCAGACTAAGAGCGAGGATTAATGAGTCCTGGTGCTTTATCTGTTCAAATGGTAAAAGGACTGTACTTATATAGCACCTTTCCAGTCGTCACACCACTCAAAGCACTTTACGCCACATTCACACATTCATCGCAAAGGCTCATCACCAACAGATCTGTTCAGTGTGTTGCTCAAGGACGCTTCGACATGCAGTGGGAGGAGCCGGGGATCGAACCATCAACCTTCTGATTTAATGGAAGACCTGCTCTTCCTCCTGAGCCTCAGTTCAGTCAGCAGTCATTACAATCAGAGACCAATGTGTTGTTTTTACAGTTTCTCATGTTCTTCAATTTGTATTTGCATTATTTTCTATCAGTCTGCATAAAATACTACAGGTCGGCTGCATACTTCTGGGTCAAAAGGGGGAAGAGCCACCTTTAAAGCCGACAGGCACTGATATTCAATAGATTATTTAATAGAACAGATGTTGGGTTAAGTTTTCCTTTAACTCGCTGAATCTGCTGCATTAATTATTAAAAATGGTTTGTGTCGACTGTTTGTACCTCAAACGAACCTTTAATCAATTACATTTATCAGCAGGTTGGAGAATATGGACGATACAGAAGAAGAGTGGGTTTAAATTCTCATGCTGGCTGCCAACATGATGGATTTTATAAAATCTATGAATGTCTGTTAATCCTCCTGGTTGAGTTGAGCTGCCAACATTTTTACAAATCACAGAAAAACCTTCCAGGGGAAGTTATGATGCTTTATGTTTACTAGCTGATATCCCCTCCTTTTATTTATTAAGGGCACCAACAGAGGACTTGGCAACAGTATCCTGCAATGACGTCCTAACCTTAAGTGCACTTTATATACAAATTTAGTTCCCTAAGAGACATGAGAGATGTATTCAGTGGTGGAGGGAGTATTCACATCCTCCATTAGTACTAATACGACACTGTAGAATTACTGCATTGAATATTAAGTAAAAATATTACTGATTATAAGTATAATCAGGAAAATGTACTTATATTCCCCCTGTGACTGTTAAACTATTATATATTATATCATTGGATTATTGACCTTAATAAAGGCATTAATGTAGAAGTAGGATTTTACTGTCGTAGATTAATCTGCTGATTATTTTCTTCAGTATTTTATTGATTGTTTGGTTTGTAAAGCATCAGAAAATAGTGAGAAATGCAGCCAAAACAAGTCTAATTGTAAAATAACTATTAAGTAAAGCTGCCACATAAGTGCAGTGAAGTATAACGTGTATTTTATCTCTAATATGTAGTGGCGTATAAAGCGGTGTGAAAAGAAAAAAGAGACGAGTAAGTAAGAATAAAATACATCAATTTGTACTTACAATAATAATAATTATTATTGTTATTAGTATTGTTATATAACATGGTTAAATCATTATTATTATCATCATCATATATAAAAATGTATATATATTATTTTCCCACACTAACAATACCAAACAATGTGTCATAACAACCCCCCCTTACATTTATTATGACTTATGTACCACGTGTTTGTTTTACTTGTTTTCTTGTGTATTTTATTCCTTTGTATTATTGTTGTATCTATACACTCGCTGTTGTTTACCTTTTGTTTTTGCGCAAAGACAAAACAAAACGTAACAAAACCTGAGTAAATGTACTTAGTTACATTCTACCACTGGATGTATTAAAACGTGTATTAACAAAAAAACACTAAAATCAAAATGATTTTAATCAAAAGAATGAGTCTTAATCTAGCTACAGTTTGCCTGTTATCGCACTCTGGCCTACTTCCAGCAGGTGAACTATTTGTAGATCTAATGGACGCTGCACCACGGCGACCCCTCGCTGAGATGAGAGAGTGACCTCTGACCTTTCGTCTGGGACTTTCAGAACTACAGTCAGGTATGTGGGCTGCGATTAACCTTTTGAATTTATCAAACAGAACTCTTGGAAAGGAGTCTTATATGGTTTTACAGTTGGAATATCTGCATTATATCTTATCTTATCTTACAATGTCACTATTTTTATACCCTAAATGTCTAGCACGTTGTCCTCAGTGAAACCTTTGCGTTGCCCTTGTTGTATTTAATTGTTGTTGACACATATTTACATTCATTTATGTTTATTTATATTTCTTTTGTCTCATTCTTATTTTTCACACCAACCTTTAAACACAGCCTCAATGAGCCACACTGCATTTCACTTCACGAATTATCTGTGACAAATAAAACCTTTGAATCTTTAAAATAAACAGTGCCAGTATAGATCAAGTTTATAGACTAGAGAAAAAAGAGTTTGACTGTTTGGTGATAAATGGAGTTATAACTAAAGTTTGAAGAACATCAGCTGAAAATTTACTTCAAACGTGGAAATCAGAGGAAAGTCTGAGCGAACATGCTAACATGCCCATAATGATGATGATAAGGCTGATGGGAACATGAATATTTGTGACAATGCGTTCAATAGTTGTGGAGATATATAAGTTATATATATATATAGAGAGGAAAAGTCAGGGGATCACAGTCATTACGAGTCATTACAGGAGGTTGAGCATGAATTTCTGGTCAAAATGTAGCAACAAACTTCAGGAGACGTAGAAACTTTGACCTGCTGGAAGAGAAAAGGTCTGTGGTGGACGTCTGCTAACAAGGAATCAAATGATCTTTTTCACTGAAGGGTTTCGGCCTTGAGGTAAGAAGAGCAGCTAGACTGAACCGCTGGAGCTAATGTGAAGGTAAATATTAGCAACAACATCTCAGAATAAAATGAATATCAGTGAACAGCAACACAAACGCAGAACCACCAAAATAACCATAAAAAGTCAACCACCACCTTTCAAAACAGTTTCCACATATATAACAACCTTCATGAACGCCGACGTCTGTCTGACTGACGGGTGTCTCACCCTGTCACACACAGCCCACCTCAACTGAACCCAGTCGTAATCCCAAAAAATCCTAATTCAGGCAAATGAATTAGGATTGTCTCCTGTAGTCGCCAAGATGGCAGCGAGCTGGAATATGAAATCCAGGCCTCATCAAACCTTACGGGTATATTATTATTATTATTATTATTATTATTATTATACCCTCTTTATTTGTGTCTGTAATCTATTCAGTCACTGCGGCTTATACATAAACTCCCAAATACTTTAATTTATTCCAAATAAACTATAAAAGTAATTTCATGCAGAGAACCACTGCTGAAAAATTATGACTGTCACTATTTAAATGGAGATGTCACTTGATAAGAAAAATATCTCATATGTCCCGCATATGATGATCATTTTATGCACCAGCGTGCAGTAAAGAGACGCAGAGCCCATTAACATGTTCACACATCAGGCGTTAACCTCAATCGATGATGTGACCTGCCGCACACACACACACACACACACACTGAATCACTCAGAGTCAGCGCCTCGCATCGACTGACACTTTCAGATATATGGATAAAAAGTCACGGCTGACTCATGTTAACGGCTCTTTAATTGGTTGAATTAATCTTAAAATTGATTGATAATCTGTCACCAGGAGCAGTTATGAAAACTTGTCGACTACCCACCCCCATTTCCACTCACACACACACTCACACACACTCCCTCAACCCATTCACCCTCCCACAAATGGTCCATTATGATATAATCCGTGGCGCTGTGCGGTGCAGTGATCTGTAAAGAGCTCTAATCTGTGACACTCTCAGCTGGGGCGGCTCGGTCGCACACTCACCGGGAAGTAGAGGAGCAGAGAGCCGAACAAGATCGTCTCCAGCAGCAGGAGGCCGGACGCCCGGATCCTCTGCGGGAGGAGGAAGAACAGGTGGAAAGTTATGAGAAGATGAGCCATAACAGTGTATTTATCTATCTTTATTCTAAAGTATAATGTATAATAGATTTAGATTGTTAGGTTCTGTTCCATTAAAGCTCCAGTGTTCAGGATTTAGTGACATCTAACGGTGTAGTTGTAGATCTCAACTCCCTCGCTTCACCCTCCCTTTCCAAGCACAAAGGAGGAACTATTGTGTCGGCCCTTTGCTGCGAGTCGTCCCCTCTCTTTCTACCCCCTTTTCCTGTCACTCTTCAGCTGTCACTATCAATTAAAGGCTGATCTGAAATGGTAGGCCACACTGTGAAATACTCCACTAAAAGTAAGTAAAGTCCTACATTTATAACCTTATTTAAGTAAAAGGACTGTCAGCAAAATGTGCTTAAAGCTCCAGTGTGTAACCTTACTGTCGTATAATATTCACAGGTATGTTTTCATTGGTGTATAATCACCTGAAAATAAGAATTGCTGTGTTTTCGTTACCTTAGAATGAGCAGCTGATCGCCTTCAGTGGAGGCCGCCATGTTTATACAGTAGCCCAGAACAGACAAACCAAACACTGGCTCTAAATAGGGCCGTCCACGGCCACCGTAGTTTCTCCCTCGCGCTTGGACGTGTCTGCAACTAAACCACTAGTGACTGGCAGGAGCTCTGTGGTCTATTTCATTTTATTGTAACAGCAAAACAATTTAGTGTTTTTACTGACAGTTGTCTTTATGAACTTGTGATAATCAGTCAATAAACTAAACAGACTTAAACTCATTGCTTTAACAACTCAAGACATTTCTGCTAAATAAACACAGCAGAGTTTTTCACACAATGCATCATGGCTCAACGCCTGGAACAGCTCTCCCGATTGTCCCTTCATCCAATCCCATCTGTACGGTGGCCCCCGCTGAGCCAAAAAGACCTGACTCACCCGGTTTCTGCGATGCCTGTAGGCCACCAGCATGCTGACAAAGATGAGGAGCATGAAGACACCCTGGACAGCCAGCACGGCGGCCCTGAGGAGCCAGGCCTCCTGCACCCAGCAGGGGGTGCCGTCCTGACAGCTCTTACAGCCCGGCCAGCATGGGAGACAGATGGGCATGTTCGGGTAGCACGTAGCGCCGCCGTCACTGGAGTTCACAGGGCCACCATCTGCATCGACACCTACACAAACCCATGTGAAGACCTCATATACATGTGACTTATATATCCAAACTGGAACAGTACATACAGCAGTATACTCGTCACATAAAGTCTCTTCTGCTATGTTATATTATAAGATGAAATAAGATGAAACAGTGTACTGGTTTTAATTCCATGTTTGATATTTATTCTTTAAATTCCATCATACTACTACTAAACCTACTAACTGTGTACCCTTCTTACTAATGTATAACTTTAAAACACAACGATTAATTACCCACAAATAACTCCTTAAAATATCATGCCACACAACAGTTTCTTATTTGTGCAATGGAGCATTTGAGAAATATCTCTTTGAATACTTGTCGATTTATAGTGTTTTTTAGGATATTTTGTTTTGAAAAGGAAGCAGTGTTAATATTATTATTATTATTTAATTAGAGTAGAGTAACCTGCTATAATCCTACATAAAGGCCCAGTCAAAGGAAAACCAAACATAAACAACCCATGATATTGGGGCGGCTGTGGCTCAGGAGGTAGAGCGTGAGGTAAAAAGACAAATCTAGTAACAACACGTGCCACAGTGTTTGTCTCTAACTGTGTACACACCAACAGCGGTTAGCAGAGACACTCAAAATGGGAAAATTGGGACAATAATCAAAATAGAGTTGCTAAAGGATGCAGTCTCACTGTAAATATTCTCATCGTAAAATCCTACAACGCTTTAAAAGATTAAAGGTTTGCAATTAGCTAAAAGGACTCTAGGTGGCAGCATTAGAAGCTCACACCAGTGATAGGTTAGTGTGTTAGCTAACCATAGCCTACTTTTGTAGTAACGTTAACTTTTAGCTCTGTTTTGGTCTCCACCAACTCCTGAGAAGAATATCTATCTCTTTAGCTGCTAGATTTTCCACTTTGTTCACCAGCTTGTCTCTAACAGTGTCTGTCTGCTGCTTGATGCTGAGCAGGTTGTGTGTAGTGGGTTTATCTGAGGGGTGGTGGGGTTTTAGAGGGGCTCAGACTAAACAGGAAACAGGTTGGCAGTAAAAACCAACCAATAAGCCATCAAAGTTTGGTTGATGTGAGATAAAACTGTAGCATCTCTCTCTGCAAATCTGAGCTACGAGTTAATTTGCATTAAAAAAACCCACATAAATGATGCACTGTGTTTATTAAGGGCTATACAGAATTTTAAATAAGAACTCCAACTTCTTGATGGAAAAGTGACTCACAGTTCATAAAAACCTTAAAAACCTGTGAGTTTTGGTTTTCTTTATATAGACAGTCAGCAGCGTGCAGGACTTAAAGGACCAAAAGTGGAGGCAGGAACCTCAGGAGAGGCTCTCTGTAATTTAACCTGCTGTGGGCAGAGGTTGGTTATTGACTTACCTGAGTCTTGAGGGACTATGTCAGGGTTGTAGAAACCCTCTTTACAGCGGCAGCAGTACTGACCCAGTCGAAAACCCCGGCCTGGAATTGGTATGCACTGAAAGAAACAGAGAGATTATTAAGATTATTCTTTCTAGATCTGTCCGTCCTTTTCTTTTGAGTAATAATAACAAGAAGAAGATGGAAAGAGAGGTAGAAGTTTGTAATTAAGTGGTTATTTTACTAGTTTTTATAGGTTTTAATTGGTTGTTATATTACTTACATTCTACTTGTCTTTCCTTCACTGACTTATTTAATATGAAAACACGACAATCGTGGAGGTTCGTCAACAGTAACTCAAAATCTACCTGTTATTATATTATTATATTAAAGTATATATTTACTACTAACTGACATATCAGGCATCAACCACTGAATGTAAAATGTTAAATTAAAGGACGTTTTGAACCAGACTTTATTTTTCAGAGCAGCTTTCAGGTTCACGATTAGCAAATATAGATACAATGCACACAGATCTGAAATGGCTGAAGGCTAACGATAGGTTTGGATGTAGTTCATTAACTTTAAGTAATGTAACAGTTGCCAGGGCAACAACTAATGGGGATCCCGATAAACAATAAAAATACACTGAACTGTGAAGCAGCTGCTGGGACGCTAACGCTGCCTAAATGAATAAAGGTTGAAAAAGGGGTCACATTACTCTCTCTCACTCTATTTCCCTCTGATGCTAGCTTCAATATTTAGCCAGTCGACACACACACACATTTGGATGGTCTGTGTGTTAATCTAAGTTAAAAGCTAAATGGATACATAATGCCTCGACTGAGAGCATTATCCTTTTCTAGAGAAATCCTGTTCCCAAGCACACACAAACACAAACACACACACACACACACACACACACTGGCCTCACATATGTATATACAAACCCACAACCCCCTTTATCAGAAGCTCAAAGACCTAATGCCAGGGGCTGAACATTAATGTGATATGGATTATACAGAGCGGTCAACTTAATTCTCTTCATGTTTGCATCTCAGTTCAACAGATAGTTGCAGTGAATGAGTGGATTCAGTCATCTGTCATGTTTAAGTTGAAACCACGCCGGCCACTTTGAACGCTTCAAACTGCTTTGTAGTGGAAACGTGAGGCAGTAACTCAACCGATATGTACGATTAAAGAAGAACACTCATGTTCAAGGACTGTCTTTAGATTCTTGTGGAAAATCAGACGCTATGAGATTGGACAATGTGTGCCAAGAGACAAGACATCAGGTAAGATAAGAAAGGACTAGTGAGACGAGATGATGAGGCAAGACGAGGAAGGACGGGGTGGGGCAGGAAGAGATACGGCATGAAATGACGAGGCACGCCAAGACTGTATGAGATTTAAGATGAAACGAGGCATGACAGGACGAGTCTACATGAGGGACTTATTAAGGGGAAAACTACATGAGATGAGACAAGATGAGAGATTACAAAGTCCTGACAGGGCAACCTGAGATGAGATGAGGCAAGACTAGATGATGGAAACAAGGCATGTAAGGACAAGACAGAACAAGGGTACATGAGATAAGAAAGGACAGTAGAGACAAGGACAAGGTAGATTAGATGAGACAGGAAGATTTTTTACATATCTTTTTAAACTCAGGGATTAGCGTAACATGATACACCCACGTGTTTTATATCACAATGTGCAGAAAGACCTCAGCTTTCTGTATAATAAGACACTGTTTGTCCCAAAGCACTGTGTCAAGAGATAATTGGAAGTCTGATTTTTCAAAATTATTAAATTTTTTATTCATCTCTTTACTTGTGCAGACCAATTGTTTTTGGGGTTTGAAATGGGTTCATCAAAGTTCACGAAAATAGTGGAATATGTGAATAAAATAGTATATAAATGTGTAATAAATTAGTTAGTTTCACACAAAATGTGGACGGACACACGCACCCACCAATTACGCAGCTGTCCGTAAGCTCTTGCGAGAATATAGACTTGGAAGCGGAGAGTCTACAGATTCAGACAGTTTCTGTGCTGTTTTATCTTAAGGGGGTTAAAAAGTGACAGGACAGAACCAGAAGAGATATAAATGGACAAGGCAAGACAAGTCCACATGAGGAGAGAGAGATGATACGAGAGAGGAGATGAGACATGGAAACGAAGCCTCAAGGGACAAGACAGGACAAGAAGGCGAGATGAGATGACGAGACAGGATAAGAAAAGACAGGACAAGACGAGAGACGGGACAAACCCAAACAGGACAGAAGAAAATGGGTGACCCAGTACATGCTCTGCTCAGGAAAAGGGTTTGAATCCTCTAAGCCAGGTAGGACAGGACGGGACAAAAGGTACCATGTGGATTTGGGGATTTTTAGGACTGTTCTTCTCTTGTGTTTTCAGACCTCTGTGAGTGCGGTGCATAAAGGGGAAGTATGTCAGCGGACTGGATTATCGCCATAATCCATCAGATCATCCTGCAGCCCGCCACCCAGCGCAACCATCTTTAAATAGACAGCTGAGATGAGAGGTAGAGGATTGGGTCTGGGCAGACGGGGCCAGCAGGGAAAAGGGAAACTGAAGCTAAAAGAGGGTTTGGTGTTGGAGCGGATGGGGGGAGCAGACAGAGAAGTTAAAGTGTAACTGGGTGAAAGCATGAGCAAAGGATAAAAGGCCAAAAAAAAAAAAATACCCGAAGTAATGAGAACAGACAGAAAGGGGCTTAAATCATTTTCAGAGGTCGCAAACAGTTTAGAGTGTATTTGTGTGATGTAACTAAAAAAAAATCCCACAAACATGAGTTAGACAGTTTAAACAGCTTGTTACATGAAAGAGACTGAGATGTGGTGAGCCGACAGTGATAAAGTCTTAAACACGTCCTGTGATGTTGAAGGTTCAGTGTGGAACATTCAGGAGGATTTATTGGCAGAAATGGAAATAATATTATATAAAGGTATGTTTATATTAGTGTATAATTACCTGAATATAAGAATTGTTGTGTTTTCGTTACCTTAAAATTAGATGTTTTTATCTACAGAGGGAGCGGGTCCTCTTCTAAGGAGTCAGCCATGTTGAACCGCCATGTTTCTACAGCAGCCCAGAACGGACAAACCAAACACTGGCTCTAATTTGTCCAATAGTATAAATATCTTGGAGCAGTCGTTGATAACAACTTGAAATTTGATGTAACTTCTGATGCAGTCTGTAAGAAGAGGACAGCAACATCAGTGCTTCCTTAGAAAATGAAATGTTTTTATTGTGGACGGGAAGATGATGTACTTATTTTAAAGTCTTTTATTTAATCTGTTCCTTCTTTTTCTGTGATTCCT